AAAGCCATGTAGATTAACAAACTCATCAATCGACTTTCCCTCCTTACCTAACACTCTACACCTAACCTCCATATTACTCACTATGTTATACCACTTAACATGGGAGACAGAACGCAGACACCTGTGATCAAAGACAGCTAGCCTTTTCATGTCTTTCAAATTCAATGGCCATGTGTCACAGCCCCGTCCTTCGATCAATAGCCAAATGTCACGTCAACACTCGAGATGATACAAGTTGGCGAATGTCGCACAAGCCTTTGTATTCGTACTATGATATTGTCAGCAATCAGCTCGTTGGAGCTGATACAACTAGCCAAATAAGTGAAGTAGTCGACACGCTCTACCACTTCATTGTCTCCCTATCTTACAGCTAGAGGTCTATGTAGTCTAGTCTAGTAACATGATCTTCCATTTGAAAGCAGGGGTGAATCGTTTGCCAAACATTCGAAGATTTCTGCTCAAGGTGTTCAGAAGACTATGCATTCTATCAGCATCTTCCCCCAGGAGGACAATGTTATCCGCATATTCGAAGTTAACAAGACTATACCCTGATAACAAGTCAATCCCTAAATCAATGAATTCAGTTAGGGTGAATTTCATTAATATTCACTATTCCGAAGCGGAACCTGATAATTCATGCAACTATGATCCGAAGAATCTGCAGTCCTGAATCAGTAGATGAAGAGACCACTCTTTTCAGGAAGACACTCCTTCGAAACGACTACCCTTCACTCTCAATAGATAAACACATAAAGCCGAAAATCAACAAAGAACAACTTGTCTCTGTGCCGAAGAAGATGCTCTACATGAATGTGGAGTTCAAAGGTGACCTTATGGTCGACATCCTAAAGAGGAGAATGTCAAAAGCCCTGAAAAAAATTCTTTGTTGTTACATTAGGATCGGTATTCTCCTGTTGCTCAGTGTTCTTCAACAATTCTTACGATAAACTATCGCATTTAACCACTTCTATGTGTATCCACCAATTCACTTGCCCCTGTGGAGCAAAATATGTTGGTCGTTCGATGCATGTTTTATCTAAAACAGTCAAGGAGCACTATTCCGCTTGGTTACAGAACGGTCACCATGGATTAATAAAGAGTGGTACAATCAAACATATATATATTCAATGTTTGCCAATCAATATGTAAAGAAAATTCATTCAAAGTTATCCATCTACAAAGTTAAAATAAGCCTACCGAAAGTGGTTTGCCTATTCATACTTTGCATTGCTGAGGTTTTAACGATTCGGATGGAAAACCCCCCTTTTTCTGTCTTTTGTCTACTTTTGTGTGATACAATGGAATGCAGCAGCTTAAACTACTGTACTTCTGTGCTAAGTTCTATACTAAAACTAAGTAAGCGTTAGACAGCATATTATCATTCCACGTAAGACACGTGTAGTTGTTAGAAGCTAACACTAAGCCTAGACCAATAGATTTACTTAGTGACCGATATTATTAGAAATATTCAGCATTAAAAAAAACACGTAACCAAAGTTCATTTAGACAGTTTACTTCGTATACTATGAAAAGTTAATGACACATTCCAATGTCTTATGTCTTTCAAAATCTACTTAAACATATTTCAGTAATAATTTGTAAGGCAAGACCTCAACATTATATATATATATATATATATATATATATATATATATATATATATATATATATATATAATATCTGCAGGTCTAAGGTATTTGATAGTTCAGAAATTCGCAATAACACAACAATAAAACGAAATGGTCTTGAAAACCATCATTTCTTCACAAACCAGACTTTCAAGTTGGCCAGAACAAAATGCGGTATCAATTAATGAAATTTAAGACTGGTTGTTTAAGACATCTGGAGAGGTATGGAATGCCTGACTGAAGTTCTTAATATGATAAAATGCAACAACGTAAGATTAAAATTTGGGAAAATCTGGAAAATATATATATATATGTATTTCCGTATTAGATAGATTCATTTGAGAAAGCACACGGTACTACTGTATTATTGTTGCTCCCTTGGGTCCCGAGTGGATATTAGGGCTTTAACAGCACACCTCCACTTTTCCTAATCTCTGGGGCTCTCTTTAGCGGGCCGCACGATCGTCGATACTCTCTGATCTCCTCCTCACACGACCTTCTCCATGTCACCCTTGGACCAAAGTCCAACTCGTTGTTTCCTACTCGAGTTCCATCCGACCGATAGCCTGGAGCGTGATGGCACTCAACGGTCTCCAATTTCTTCAGAATATTTGTTGAGCAGCAGGTTTTTGATTCCTTCGTTCACAGAGTTTCTTATTGCTAATCCTTTATGCTCTGTTATCTGATCTTCAGTATGGAGCCAATGAACCAGCTGTTGGTAAAAGTCTGCAGCGGGTTGTTGGAAGCGCCTTCGTGACGCGTCCACCGAATTTCTTACCCGGAATTGTGTTTTCAATGTTGAATGTAAAAGATCTCCAAAGTGATTTCAGAGTGATGAATGTCTGCCACGCCTTTCCGATTCTGGTGCTTCATCCGTGCCAGCCGCCTGTAGTTGAAACAATGCCACTTAGATAGGTGGAGGCAGAAACCTTTTTCAAATTCCTTCTGTTGATAGCGAATGGTGCTTTTTGTTGTTGGTTGGTTGATTGATTTTATCACCTTTATGTTCACCTGGAACCCTGTTTTTGCTGCCAGCCTCATCTCCCAATTTTTCAGTTTCCGCCTGTAAATATTCGAGTTTATGTGACATTAGACATATATCATCCGCGAAATCCATATCTTCTAGAGTCTTCGTATCGGTCCAACGTCCTATTCCTGTCTTTTCGCTTCCAACAGTCTGACATGCATAACCGAGTCCACCACAGAAGTATAATCGGCGGTAGTAGACAGCTTTGTCCTACTCCTGTGATACAGTGTATTAATAACTGTTTTGAGAACAAATTATTGCTTATAAGCGGTACACGTGGGTCCAGTCAAATGTTTATGTATTGGGGCCAGAAGTTTGACTAGTAAGTTGAAAAATTTATGAAATCAAACAGACAAAGGAAACAAAACTAGTGAATAACTACCCCAGGAGATTTTATTCAGAAATATATGGAGACATAGATAGAAAATATGAGTAATAATATACATAATGGGAATAATATGAATTATAAGCAATTACAAAGTCTCGATAGCATTACCACATAAACGAGTAACATCAGAAGTCTTATTACTATTAAAGCTGGAATTCCGAGGGGGGATTTAAACAGACCAGCTCTTTATAAGAGATAAACTTTGTCAGACTACGAACTCGACAGATTCAATTCAGAAAAATAATATAATTTACCCAATACCGTGTAGATACCCTGAGGTAAGTTACACATAGGTCAAACTAGCAGATCGGGATCTGTTATGTTAACAGAACATAGAAATTTAGTTAAATCTAGAATGGATAGAGGATTTCATCGTGAGTTGACATCAGTTAGAGAACCAGACGAAACAGCTGTCCAGTATTCCCAGGTTTTCCAGTGGTTCTCTAACTGATGTCAGCTCACGATGAAATCTTCCATTCAACCAAACAAAATCCCTACAAAACCAATACTTGAAAATCTAGAATAGTTGAACTTTTTACTTACTTTACTTTACTTCGGCTATCTCCTACGGGAGGATGAGCCGGCTTCATGAACCATGAAGTTTCATGGGAATTGGGTACGAGTGATGTCCCCAGAATCGCTCGGCCTTTGTTTGAGAGTGCAGCTCTAGCCTTTACACAACCAAGTGTGACCTACAAGGCAGTAGGAGTGGAGTAGGGAGTCCACTATCCATTGGCAGCCGGTGACCGGAGTCCGGTTCATTCGCCTTTTTGAATGGGGCCAGTCATCCAGGGCATCCAATAAGCCCTTTGTCCATACGTCTGCCGGTGAGCTCCAGTGAGCTTCATACGCCAGTCGTTGGAGGTTTGGAATCAGGGTTTAGCCATCTCCCCTAGACTGTCATCCAATGGACAGTCAACCCGGTGAAGAGCTCCGGGCATCCGCTTTTGCCCTCTCACTTTGGTGAAAAACACCTCCGCCACGTGAAGGCAGTGAGTAGGACTTCCTCAGGAGAGGCTATGTAAGACGCCCGGTCATATGGGAGCATTTCAAGAGGTGTACGGAGGGGTGGCCAACCCGCAGCGCAAGACACCCAACCCCGACCATCCTGAGTTGAACCTATTAAGTTAGATAATATCAAAAATAGCTCGTCTATTAATTTTTTTAAATTTTTGATTTACAGCTTGATTCCACACTGTATTTTTGGTACAAGTATGGAATTTTCAGTATGGATATCGGTAGCCCAAATTTTGCAGGCCGACCATAGATATCAGGTGTAAGTCGGCAGGGGATCGAACCTCGGACCATGTGTATGTTCGGCGAGAGTCTTAACCAATGTGCCATCGACGCACATGTATGTATATTAGACAGAGTAATAATATTAAAAAGGAACATAGGTAGTGAGTGGAGTTAATCGCAGAATGGTTTTTTTAAGTCAGCGCCGAAATGACGCAACACTTATACTGGATATATAGAAAATTGGAATAAAAAATAAGTGGGAGCAAGGCTACCATAGACTAAGTTAGGGATGTGTGAATATATATGGATGCGGTTATAAGCAATAAGTTGTCCTCGATACATCATCCAGTTATTAACGCTGTGTATTATATATCAAATAAACTAACCTAATGTAGTATGCTAAAAAGTCATTGGTTGAAGATTGTTAGTTATATGACTCAAAATAGTTCTCAATTATGAAGATGTACTCACTATTCGTGAATTTATGAAATGTAACTATTTGAACTACTGCACTTTTGTGAAGTAAACTCAGTCGGTCAGTCAGTCAGCTAGATTGTACAAAAATTAATACATTTACACAAACAACAGTATACTAGATTCAAAACTCTTAAGGAGTAATTTAGAAAGGCCAACAACACTTTAACAATAAAAAAAGGATTACAGACACGAAATTATCATTACATAAGACAAAATACAGAATATATATATATATACTTACCCGCCATAATGTAAGTAAGCCTTCTTCACGAGTGATCCGTATCAAGGCATTGAACACATTGGAGTAATTTCGACGTTCTGCTGGTGGTAATCTGATAATTTAAAATATTGATTAATTGTTTTCTCTTTTTTTTTTATAAAGCACAGCTTTAACTAGTAAAATTGAAGTAGGTGAATGAACCTATGTAATAATCCAACTATGACTGACAGCTTGCAAACTGTCCAGAAGATCTAGGACTTACTGTTTCACTGACTGAATTCCAACATGGAAACTTTGCACAGAAGTTTAACAGTCCAAGTAGCCACACTCTATGTAGCATACCAAGGTGGACAGAAAAGGGAGAAAAAGGGATTTAGAAGGACTATAAAAAACACAAAGAATAGTAATGGGGAAAAAACATAACGATTTAGTGGATGTTAGAGACCACAAAGAGTGAATGCATCTGCACCACTTAGAACAACTTTCAACCATATCACTAACAGGACCATAAACAGACAGACTAGACATCCCTATGTAATCCAAAATAACATTCAAAGATTTCATGGATTGAAGCTACTTTTTGGTTTGAACACCACTAACTCTTTTCCAACCTGATCCTATGTCAGCTAGCAGTGACTGCCAAGGAAGGGGCGATGCCTTGACATACTCAGCACATGTCCTAACCATCTCAATCAATGTAGCTTTAAAACCCCTAAAAACTTAGGGACTTATTTTTAGTAGTGGCTTGTATATCAAAATTAACAAATTAGGCTGACAATATTTACTTTGTATTGACATTTGGACTAAAATGCTGGGTTCTTGTCGATATGTTGGCAACCAGTGCGGACGATTCAATGATATCTAAAGATTGACGTGAATTAATTATTGATTGGTTGTGACTGTCAGTGTAATCCAGAATATACATACCGTCCTGTATGGGAGTCGTCAGTTGGATGCGGTGAGTCCTGAACTCTGAGCTTGTCCTTTCAAATGCATTATCCACTAAGGCATAACAACTAACTCTTTTGCAACAGGTGTCAGCTATTACTCATCTAAGCTAACTTCGTTTTTCAGGTTTTATCATGAGTTGATATCAGTTACGGAACCACTGGAGAGCCTGGGAGTACTGCACGGCCCATGAATTCCAAGTCCTTCCAATTAGCGGCACATACAGTGTAACCGCCAATGCCATAGGCGAGTAACTGACCTTCAGCCTGAGTTGGTGAACCCCGCTGGTTACGGCTTCTCACTAGAGCATTAGATTAATCATCAAGTGCTAGCCTGTAGGGATTGCATTACACACTAAGAATAATAGTTACACACACACACATTAGAAACTAACCACATATTTTATCTAGTTATTCTAAGCATATATTTAAATGTAAGCTAAACAGAAAAATTGTTCAACTCACCTGCCATCTGATGTCATTCGAATTAAACAGATCTCAGCCGGTGTACCAATGAGTGCACCGCATACTCCAGCAGAAATAGCTATGCCAATTTTCATGAAAAAGTTAGGCGATTCATGCTTAAGTTTTGAATACTGTTCAAATAAATTTGTGTATATACCTAGACGCGCAGTTGAATAAGTGGCTTGACGGAGTAGACCAGCAGATAAGCTATAAAACAAATAGATTATCATTTAATCCAGTCAATAGGGTAACACATCTTTTTGAACAATGCTTCTTACCGTGAAAAATACGAAATATCATAAACAATTCTAGATGTATGATGAAATTTGGAGTTAACAGGTTTACAAGCGCGATACATTAACCATAATTAGATTATTATTATTCCCTTAGCTTCGAATGAAACATAGGGTTTCAATAGCACACCCCTACTTTGTCCTGTTCTTTGCAGTCCTCGTCAGGTGGCTCTACGATTGACTATACATTTTGTCTTCCGTGTCACTCTCGGACACATGCTTAACTCACCGTTTCCAAATATGGTTCCACTAGAGCTATGGACTGGCGCGCAATATCACCGAACGGCCTCCTCAGAGTATCTTCGACCCAACTCCACTCTCTTCAGCATGCTATTTGGGGAATAGGATGTCGGCCAGCTCGCCGAATGTCATGGTTCCTTTTCGATAATCCTTTCTAGTCATTTGGTCTTCTGTATGGAGACAAAGGAGGTCTCTTTTGATAAAAGTCTGAAGCCAGATGTTGGAAATACATCCGATGACACGCCAATTCTTTGAAATGAATAGAAGCAACTTAGTTTTAGTGTTGAAAATCTGAATTCTGTTCTTTATTGAGGAGTGTATTAGATCTCCAGAGTAATTCAGAGTAATGAGGGCCTGTTTTGATTCCCTAATCCTGCCTTTGACATCCTCATTCATACCACAACCTGTAGTTGAAACGATGCTACCTAGATGAGTGAAAGAAGTGAGCAATATTTTCTTATTTGGCTCACCATGTTCAGAGGATGATGACTTTTCATAGGCAACGTCAAATAGTACTATAGTCTCATCGTAACTAAAGTAGACAGACTGGGTAGTTGCAACAAATATTGCAAAGCTTCACACACGAATTCCTCTAGGTGAATTTCATTCAACAAAGCAGTAATAGCACATAGAACATGGGTGAAAATGGATCCATCTTATTTTATCAGTATATCCCTTGTCAATTGCTTAAAACCAGATTATAATGAGAGTTAATAGTTTTATTACTACAGTTTTCAGCAGACTTTAGTTTGACATTAGATGGTTGGAGGCAATCAGTAGGAAGTCTTGGACCTAGTTTTCGTACTAGTTGGCAATCACCAGTCAGTAAGGCGTATCTGAAACCTTGAAGGAACTCATGCCCCTTCTGAGATTCGAACCCGCCTCACCCAGTGCTGCAGTCAAAGACGTTACCACTGAGCTATCCGGGCTCGTGTCTGACTACATTGGATACTTAGATTGGACTTCCTGTCGACTACCTCCAGCCATCGAATATCAACAATTTACAGCGTACAGCGTGATGGTGATCCACCTAGCATAGTGGTCACATTGCAAATACGACTGATAGAATTTATTCGGAGCCAGAGAAAGGACTAGACGACACATTACACTAATTATTAACTAGTGTCCAATCTAAATACTTCAGTTTGATTGCAAGGTACAAATGTCGAACAACAATTAAGAATAATCATGATATATATATATATATATATATATATATATATATATATATATATAGATGAATAGAAATATTAAGTCAATAAAATAAAATTAATTGTGAATATAAAATAATCAAAGTTTCTCAGATATAGAAGAAAGAAGCGATGGTAACAAGAAGATGTTCATATGTGGATAAATTATAAAATTATGCAAGTCATTGGAAAACTGTTGTTAAGTAAAACAGAAATGCATAGAGTTTACAGTGACTAAGACCAACAGGTTGCAGACCTTTATCAACAACTGTCTTCGCTGGCTCTATCCTGAAGATCAGATGGCTGGAAAGAATCATGAACAAGAAACTATGAGAACAAACAAAACAAGAACCAATCGCCAACCAACAAATATGCAGGAGAAAGTGGAGATGGGTTGGACACTCACTGAGGCCGCCACTGGGTGACATCGCGCGCGCGTCAGGTCATTGCTCGAGTGGAACCAGGCCGAAAAGGAAGCGGCGAGTGGGACGTCAGTGCAAGGGTGACATGGAGGAGATCGTGTGAAGAGGAGTTGAAAGAGTATGGACTAACATGGATGCAGGTGAAAAGTACAGCAGAAGACAGAAGCAAGTGGAGACGTGCAGTTGAAGCCCTATATTCCACTAGAAACCCAAGGGAACAATAAAAATAATAATAAGACTATATTATCTGGGTCGGTGGCACAGTGGTTAGGACTCTCGCCGACCATGCACATAGTCCGAGGTTCGATCCCCTGCCGACACACATCTGATATCTATGGTCGGCCTGTGAAATTTGGGCTACCGATATCCATGCTGAAAATTCCATACTTGTACCAAAAATACAGTGTGGAATCAAGCTGTAAATCAAAAACAAAAATAAAATATATTCTTTTAACAGCATTAAAAGTAAGCTCTGACCGACCAACCATTTAGTTTAATAGAACTACCTCCACAAAGTAATTATTCTATTATTTATGAACAATCACCGTTAGGACATCGACACCTAGTGTAAAGAAGAAAAGACCGATGTGGGGCTCAAAGGCAGTGTTAATTAAGACAAACGTATTGTAGGTACATAAATTTGGTATACCTGATCTCCAATGCTTTATTTGCAAATCATTTGCAAATTGGTCGAATATCACCCACCATATTCGATAGCTTGTTGGATTCTGCACAATGTTTCTAACTTTCTTCTCACAGTTCCCTTCTTCGATTGCTTTTTCCAGTGTCCGAAACATATTGTTACTTTTCTGAACTTGTTTACTGATATAGTACTTGTATCTGAATATAAGCAGCACTCACATCACTAGTGGAGACACCGTTGACTTTCAAATATAAAGGGTCCGCGCTACTATCTGTGAAATCCACAAATGAAACTGATCTCCGTTCAGTTCAGTGAAAACAAACAACGGAAGAAAGAAACCCAGTTTCACTAAATACCAATCGCTGCATATGATGTGGTTAGGCTAGTGTCAGTGTTTCGACAGATGGGTGTTGTATTCTAGTATCCCTGTGGGAATGCTGTCACTGTTATTCGAATTAACGTACATCTAACTGACAAATCCCTCCACTAGTGATGTGAGTGCTGCTTATATTCAGATACAAGTACTATATCAGTAAACAAGTTCAGAAAAGTAACAATATGTTTCGGACACTGGAAAAAGCAATCGAAGAAGGGAACTGTGAGAAGAAAGTTAGAAACATTGTGCAGAATCCAACAAGCTATCGAATATGGTGGGTGATATTCGACCAATTTGCAAATGATTTGCAAATAAAGCATTGGAGATCAGGTATACCAAATTTATGTACCTACAATACGTTTGTCTTAATTAACACTGCCTTTGAGCCCCACATCGGTCTTTTCTTCCTTACACTACTTTTTTTTTCCTGCACGTTCCCAGTGGAACATAGGGCTTCAAGCTAGTGGCTTGAAGTTTCTGTAGCAGTGGTGATTATTTTTACAGGATGGGGTTGCTAGCCTCATCCCAAACCTTTCCTCTTCACCAGTCTCATTACTGGCTTAGCGAGGTAAAGGAGTGCGCCGGCCGGGGATCGAACCCCGGACCATGTGCATGGTCGGCGAGCGTCCTAACCGCTATGCCACCGACGACCTTACACTACTACATGGCACAATATTATTCTCTCGTCTAAGTAGGCGAACTAATCTGATAACTTGAAAAAGACCTAATTTCAAAAACTATATATAAAATAGGTTAAATACCAAAGAGTCAGTAAATAGATATTTTATTTGCATTATTATTCGAACTAAGTACGTTCAAATGCTTAAAACTCCAATTTTCTGGGAGCGAGACTTATTGGAAGACATCACAATGCAAAAATGAAGTGCTACTCGACAACCACTTGGGATCTCATGCAGTTGTTGGCAATGAGCCACCACACTTACTATGTGTGTGAGGGTTAGTCATACTATCTGGCTGCCTAAACCCGTGATCCAGTAGCTGAATAGTGAAATGTGATAGCCTCATAACTTGAAGATACTGGCTTCAACCTCAGGTGGAGTCATGGGTGTTGAAGAGTCCCACACAAGGACGACACGGCCGTCTAGTGCTTTCTAGATGACCTACAGTCCCACATGAAACACATTAATGATATACTTTAAAAAATAAACAGCTAACCCTGAATAGATTGCAAAAAATCCTTCATTGCGTATAACTGATAAAAGAACCTGAAAGCTGTTGCGTTGACCAGCACTAGCACCTCCTCCAACACCTATCAAGTTAGAAAATGAAATACAGGAAAGATTGAATGAACAAATGACACCACATGTGAAAAAATACAACAACGAAAGTCACACTCAACACTTAGAATACATACTATTAACTCACAATGAGGAGAAACTCACTCAAATCAACCATACTGATTTCAGTTGTCTAAGTCATGCACTCATGTGAGATAGAAACGATGGTTTTCGCCAATTTCGAGAAAATACCACCTGGTACGATGGTCTTGACTACAGATTTCATGAAAAATATAAAATTTGATTACACCTATTCTTTTTTGAATGCTCTTCGAATACTTACAATTAAACCAAAATTATACAAAAATGTTACTTATTTAAAACGTGTTACACAATATGAGCACACTAAGAGGTGTACCATACAAAATAAAACAATATAGGGAAAAAGTTGAAGAAGTTGAACAACAACAGAATATGTAGATGAGTATTCAAAATAGTGTTCATTACTTCGTATTACTTCCAGTCAATCTTACTTCCTACGACCGTTAAACATGAATACTGTAAGTGAAAGGTGCAAAAAGATTAGTGCTTTTTGACTCTGAATGCCTATTATCAAACTTGCGTGTAGCGTGAGGCAGTATCATAAGTCATAATCTCATCTAAGGAGGAAAACCCAACAGATGAAGCCTCAAAACTCCATCGACCGAAATGGTTAGGATATTTGTTAGACATGACAAGCCACCATCTTTCTAGACGAATAATAGAAAGATTTTGGAGGCGGCCAGATGAAAACATATCACCTATTAATAACGTCTTTGACGGTTAACTTGAGACTCATAGAGACTTATAAACCATCCGGTTGAGGTCTTTAGAATGCTGAGAATCACTCGTTGAAGACTATTAGTTACATGGCTAATAATTATCTGCAGGAGACTAGATGTATTCATCGCCTGTTATTATCCTGATTTTGTAAAAAGACTTATCAATTTCCATTTGACTGATATGTCTTCTATATATCTTTGTTCATTATAACTTCAATACATTTATTTTTCCTACCTTTATGTGCTTTATTGGAGTGAGACAATTTGAACTGTGTTGAACGTTCACTTTAAGTTGAATCAGTACGAACCATTTATCCAGGTACTAATAAAATGAGTGATGGGGTCATAGGTAAGGAGGGAAAGTCAGTCGATGAGATTGTGAAGTTACACTGATTGAGATAGCTAGAATATGTGTTACGCATCCCTAGTCATCGCTCTCCTCAACGGGCAATGTTAACCAATGACATAGGATCAGGTAGGAAAGAGCTAGTGGTGGTCAAACCAAAACTTGGAATCATTCCATGAAATCGCTTAGTTAGTTTGAGCCAGCCACTTAGGGAGGAGGAGACTACTTGGTTAGGGTCCTTGAGATGCTAAAAACCAATGGCCGGAGATAATCAGTTGACATGGCTCAAAATTGTTCTCAATAGCGCAGATGCATTTACTGTTTGTGATCTCTGATATCCAATAAACCCTAATGTTCTTCCATGTTACTATCATTTCTCCCTCATATTTCTGCTTACTATCATTCTTTAAGATATTTTTTCCTCTCATTTATCTTCCTTTGTGTGCAACACAGAATGTGGCAACTTAAACTGCTGCTATTATATGCAAAGTCGTGTATGTGGAAACCAGTCAGTTAATCACATGGTGTTCTCACTGAGACATCTCAACAGAGATCGGAAAATCGATGACAAATCCACAATTGAATTAAACAAATAATAACTCATATCCGTTGCAAAACACGTGACTTTCGTGGCCAAAGTGGCTCAGTGGATAACGCCTTCGCGTTTGTAACAACAAGTGCGAGGACCCAGTTTTAGTGGGAATAACATCATTACTCGATGGATATTGCTAGTTCATTCAACCGACAAGTCCCGAAAAGGACTGCTAGTCATCATTCATCAAGTAATATCATATTAATCCTCAGAAATTCTCGAAGCGTCCACACCCGCAGCCGACATATCAACAGAGACCGAGAATTTCAGTCCAATATAATCAATCAATGAGAAATACAAAATTGACTTGTCCAGTTTGGTTTGCTAGGATTTCATTGGTTACAGATTCATTACTGACTGCCATCAATTAAAGAACCAGTGGAAAATCAGGGAGTACTGGACAGTTGTTTCGTCCTCGTGTGGGACTCTTCATCAGTACGCAATCATCAGGCTTTGAAGCCAGGACCTTCTGATTACAAGGTGAACCAAGCAGATCATTCAGCCACCAGGACCTGATCTAATGACCTATGAATTCCAACTTTTGACAGCTCGCGATACATAGCGCAACACTGAAACAAAGTGCAATCCTTAATTTAATACTGTCTTACCCCTCCTAAAAAGATATAACCAAAAGCTGTTCAGTATGAGAAAAGGCTCTCGGTGGGTAAAATTAATATTCATAATAAAGCAGAATTTAGGGGAAACACTATGAGCAGAAAGAAAGTGGTTAAAAATAACGCAATACTTCCTGTGACTTATGGAGAATCAAAAATATTAACAATAATAAAATAGGTTACCATAGGTGTGTTTAACTCAAAGGCAAGTGGACAGATAGATCAATGGTGGATAAATAACTAGTGACAGCCACAAAGTATCTTGAAAGCTATTCTGATATATTTGTGAAGTTCAGAGGGTGTAAGCAACCACAACTTCTTTAAGAGGTGAGTCAGGAAACATCAAGTTCTTTGGATTACTGATGAATGTATACCTGAGGAGAATTTAGCAAAGTCGTAAATATTTCTTCATAAAATCTCGATTAATAATAAAAGTGGAACGTCGGAGCTCTAGTGGCTGTTTTTCATTCATTCACTCGGTAAATTTAGGGTCACATAATGCTGAATCGCGCGTCAGCGGCACAGCAACAGAACCACGCAAGTGGTTCGGGATCTCGTCCCCGGACGATGGCGCACTCTTTTACCTCTAAGTTATCAATAAGGCTGCTAGAGAGGGAAGGTTGGACATGAAGCTAGCAACCCCATCCCGTAAAAACAAACACACGGCTGCTCCCGAAACTTCAAAGCTCTAGCTTGAAGCTCATTGTTCCACTGGGAACGTAAAGGAATAAAAAAAATACTGAATTGCTAATCCAGTGGTATTACCTCATAGTTGACTAAAAAAGATCAATCAAAAGACTTTAAATAATCTAATTCAGCGATTACAAGGGTTACTCATTTGTTTATCATTAAACCTGCAACTTCTGAAAGCTGTGGAAATGACTAATAAAGAAAACTGAGTAATCACAAGTTCAATGAACTAATTTTACAGGATAAGTATATGCATAACCAGCAACCTGATTCTTATCGACAAAAAACAGGCTGTAATTATTTGCTTTCAAAGTTATAAGCGAAATAGGTGAACAAAGACATTTAGAAGATTCAAAATGTTTATCATACCGCTCATTTGCATTCGATTTTTGACCAAATCTAACGGCTGAACACACACAGAAGCGCACATTCTGTAAATTTAAATGATGAAAAGTGTAAATAAAAATAATTAGCTCGATGATGAAGATGATACGGAATATATTTTACCAAAAAAGAAAGCTACATGCATCTGCAACCTACAGTACCCGCACTTGACAACAGTTAGGTTTGGCTGGAAACCTAGATACATGCTACATGTTGCATCTAAGGGAGCAACACACAAGATTTCTGTGAAGTACTTCGAATAACTTAACCGTCTTGTTTATAGGTATGCATCATATGTGTTTATCCAAAGAACCTGTAACACCAGCTTTCGGCTGTGCTGGTGTCGAACTGAGCGTCAAAGACTAAGATGCACTCCTTAAAATGTCTTCAGTAAATCCTTTATATGCTGAGACCAGAAATGTCAGCCAAAAAGGCAACTGCTAAGGTAAAGAGTGACTTTCTGAAGTCTCTACCTATGCTAAGAGCGCAGCCTAATTGCAATTAAGGATGGTTTTAAGCATTAACAAAGCCATTCCCCCCAACTATGAGCGTTTGAAAGATGATGGTGACTTTGGCGTATAAGCCGTGTCTCTGGGCTCAAACACTTACTCAGCTGCACATTCGGGATGTTTTGAAACATTTGATTAGGTATGAAAACTTAGACTGTCAAACAGTATTGCCTATCTGCAACAGTTTTATTTATTCCAATGAAATTACTGCCAATCATACTGGAGTTTCGTTTGTGTTACTTAAAACCCCATGTATGTATTTAACAGTGATGCTTGTCTCTTTACTCTATCGTGCTCTGAGCACCTTTCTTCATCACTTGATATTGTTTTGTTGCCTTGTGCACAGTATTTCCCCGTATGTTCATATAGAAGGAATATATTAGAGTTAAATTTATCAGCTACGCGAAACGAGGAATCGAGGACTTTACTTTCTCCTACCTTATGACAAAATTGTGTTTGAACAAAAATGCAGTACGGTGCTTCTCTTTCATTTACCAATTTTCTTTACATATATGCTCTACAGTATTGCAGAGGTAGATAATCCCCCAGAATTATTAGCCACAACACTCGTCACTGAACGTGGGATGCTGACCCTCACTGTTTAAGTCAACTTGTTTAGCTGAAGGTTCGCTGACAAGCATCCACGCCATTTGGCACGTCGTCGTGTTACGTTCGTTCGTACATGATCCCCAGCTAGTTAACCAATCATCCTCGCATTAAGATTTGGTCTCGAAATATACTTCGTATTTCGAACAATCCATTTGGTGCTCTGCTTAGTCTTTGGTCTACACGGAACGAATACTGTAGGAGTTACGGGTATTACATCTTACGTTAGTATACATTGTACTATCCGTGAACGTCGATGCCCTCAGGATTTAAAGTATGTTTACCGCAAATGTGATATTCTTAAAGAAGTATTAATTCGACAAAAATATCTCATAAAAATGAGTTTGCTTAAAAATTAGATTTAAGTCAAAAACTATTCAAATAATATATCACACTAAAAAAACATACCCAGCAGTTCCACCTAATACAAACTTCATAGAAGGTGGCACTTCAGCCTTTTTAGTTTCACTTGACATTGTAAACAATTTCGACTTGAAGTGCTTCGTCAGATCAAAATGCAGGAAAAGTAAATGAAAAGGAACATTTAGAATGTATAACTACAAATTAAAACAGTTTAACAACTAAAGCAATTCGATGCGAAAACGGACAGATTGCAACAGCAGTTACCTCATTTGACCGATATGGTGTAGAATTACTACAAACTGCACCATCATCTGTACACTGCGCTAAAAATACATTTTACAAGGAACAACAAGAGATATTAATTATAGGGGTGAAGATTAAACAACTTACAGAAATAACTGAAGATTAACAGATCATTAGGAATGAAAATACAACTTGGCTAAACCACATATAAAGATAAAACACGTGATTCAGATAACACTCTTGAATGAACTCATTTACTACAAGTGTACAATCCCAGGCAAAAACAATTTATTTCAAGAATGTGTCCAATAGTTTTAAACTGAAAAATGTATAACTGGTAGAATAAATGCCGAGCTACTAAGATAAAAAGTATTAACCGAAATTTGAAGCAGCCATAATAAAGGCAAACGACTACAGGTAAGGCTTTGAAGAATAAGACAAAGTGCTTAAGGAATGAATTATCATCAAAATAAGCACGGAAATACAAAAAGTAATATTAAGTAAGAAAGAGAATTTTTCAAAGAACATTTTATTAATTTTAACATGCATAGGTCAAAACCAAGAAAAGAAGAACCTGAACAAGTTTCTTCTGTATGCACAGCGCGAGCTTCTTTTCTTTAGTTAGCTAAAGCGTTAAGACCACATGAGGGATACCCACAATGATTTTAAAGGGTACTTGTAGTCCTATAGATAACTATAAAGAAAGGGATTATTGAGGCAAAATAACCGGTGTAGACAAAATGTTAAATTAATGCGCACCTTACAGAGCTTTTTTCACCTCTCCATAGCGATTTAGTGTAATGTTCATGCACTCTTTTGGTATGTCTGTCTGTTTTCGACATAGAACTTTGCACAAATGTGCGGTAGTTCAAGTCGCCACACTCCATGCAGCACGCGAAGCAAGAGAAGAAAGTACAAGAAAAGCATAATAGAGACAGTGAGCAGAGGTGTGAGACAAAGGAGGAGTAATAACGAAGAACAAAACAGTTTCATTGGAGATCATAAGTCACAAGGGAAGGATGCATCTGCCCCGGCCATTGAGAACGATTTTGAGCCATGTCACCAATTGTTTCCAACCATAGATTTTTACCGTCCCGAGGACCCCAGCCTGGAAGTCTACACCTTCCTACGTGGCTTAGACCGACTGTTGTGGATTTCATTGACTGGTGAAGGCATGTTTTTGTTTGACCGCCGCTAGCTTTCTTCCAGCCTGACCCTATATCCGCTAACATTGCTCGTCGAGGGAGGCGATGACTTGGCGTACGTAACACATGTCCTAACCATCTCTTTTGGACAGAAGCCTAGTTGAATGACCGATCTACTTCGTTCCACAAGAGTAACAGTAACCTTAATAACATCACACTTATATCACTACTTATTTTAGATGCAGGACTGATGGACACATTCGTGGAATAAATGGGATATAGTTTCAAATGTATAGATCTAGTTTGCACAGAAGTCTATTATTTGAATACCGAATTTCCTGTTATAAACCATTCAAAAGCTAAACCTGAGCTACACATTATCTTTTATTTCGAGATATTTCTCTACAACACCACGGTAAGCGATCGAAAGCATGCAGTATGCTGGATAACAAAAAGGCATATGAACTGAAGTAAGATTTTCCTTACAGTCAGTAATCTATCCACATACCAACACTTAAAATCAAACACTCAGATATTTAGAGCGGCTCATAGCCTGGTACATACATAGAAACCCTGACAGATTGAAAGAATTGTGAGAATATGCGAGTACTTGTTTTTTCGCGCCATACCGTCTACTCTTGAAAAATGATTCCGAAACAGGTAATATTTCCTATTTATATCAACTCACGCATAAGCACTACCTTTGTTTAACATTGAGACTGAAAGGTTTAGATGTACCTGTTCTATTTATTATTCACATACAGCACATCTAATTATCCTAGACAAAATGATTCTTGCGAAAAATCATTTTAGTTTCTATATACAGAACGATATAAGGAAATATCTCGAACTTATTGACATATCACTATACAATGCCGTCCAATCACCTCTTCAATTGAAAAACAACTTAAAAGCTACTGTTTGGTAAGTGCAGTTTGTTTGTGTAAAATATAATTCAGCATTGAAAAGCCACAGTGAAATAAATATGTGCATAGCATTAATTCATTCTATTCGGTCGAAAACATGCTCATTATAATTGAGATTATTATCTTTTGCTGTTAATTCAAGTAATACTAGTCACAAGATCAAGACCAAGACCAAAAAACCGCATAAAATTATGGACCAGAAATTTTATTTCCTTGTCTCTAAGATGCCAACTTTCTCATACTTTCACATAAATTATACTCACAAAATGTGGTAGAGATTGTAAGGCGAGTTTTTTAAATTATTTTTAAGTGGACGTTAGAATACTTACTTGAGTAAATCAGTAAAGAGTAGAAATACTAGCTCGTAAAAACGATATTGGGTATTGGAAATATAGCGCGACCTTGAAAATACGAAATACCCTCTCAAGAATACAGGCTGATTCAAATAGTAAAATAAAAGAACAATTAGTAACAAGGATTTCAACCGAGACTATATAAGTTCTTTGGTAATTTCAACCAAATGTTCTGTAAACGAAACAAGATTTTCAGGTCCGAAATTCATGTTTGACGGATTAGCCACATTTGTATTAAGCTTAATCCTAGATGTTTATTCAGCGGTTTTGGTCTTCCATCTTGTAGATATAGCTGCATAACACTTTGTAAAATAAACTGTACAAACTGGCACACATCACTACATTACAAATTAAATCACAAGTAGCGGTTTTATAGTCATATAATTGGTATTTGCACTGAGCTTTTTCGTACTGAATATATGTGTATACAACATATATTTTGTGCAATTGCACATTTACTTCTTGACATCATGCAAACATTCTAGGTCTTATTGAGAATCCGGTGATCTTTCTCTTCGACTAATGTAACGCCGAAGAACTCCGTAAAAGTCTTTATTGAGAAAAATGCCATCGTAAGTGCCCCTGCGGAGAATCGCATTTCTCGATCTATCGAGTAGTGCGGCTGACCCTAAAATAATGGGATGAGATTATGTGTAATTAGTATCAAAATCGTTAGAGTTAGTGGATGAAGCTATAAAGATATGCAGTAAGGGAGAAGCACATTTAACCAACGGGAACTATAGAGGAGAATAAATGAGAGCATGAAAAAAAACAGTATACCAGGTACTTAACCAAAATATGTATGATGAAAAATAAGGAACAAAAGAGTGAGTAAAAGGAATAAGCGGGACCACTATCTATCACTTACCAGTACAGCCACTAAGAGCTAAACTCCCTCTCTATTAGACGTGCTCAAACAGTTCATTCCAAGCCTGCCCTTGAGTTTACCAGCTGGCAAAGTTGTGAACACGTCAATGGTCAGAGAATACCACAAACAAAAAATTCCCACTAAAAAGAAATAGATCAATTTACAAATCTTCTATTTTAGTGTGACTACGACTTTATTCAAACAAAGAAAACATTCCTTTCAACACAAGAGCCTTCACAAATTTAGGTGACTTACTATTGAATAAATAAACCAGCGATCGGACTCATAATGATGTAGTGCTCTTTTTGATCAAACTAGCGTACACGTATATCCTAGTACTTCCTCGCGTTTATTATTGTGTCCTAACGTTGTGATTCCTCAACATCCACAACGTAAATCAGAAGGTACTTGAGAAGGAGTACGAACGTGTATTAACGCAGTAATCGAAATTCAAAAGTCGAGAGAGCACAAAAGTATCAATTGTAACACGCAATATCTAGAGTGATAAACAAATCAAAGTCTAATTACACAGTGGAGGTATACTACAAAGATGAGTAATAAAATGGGTCACTACAATAGTCCCTCCTAAGAATGCAGGTAAATGAAGTTTAGCTGTATTCGGAATGTTATTGTAATTTAAAAGGACAAAAAAATGTATGAGTTTCTGGTATGAAAAGCGAATTGAGGATTTCAAGTTTTCTGAGGTGTGCTAACGTAACTTCATTTATTCGAAAATGCTAATGATTTTGAAACGAACTAAAATGTTTGAAAAGTTGTGCAAGATGTAACAATAAAACCAGAAGAATTATTAGAATAATATTGAGGTTGTTATTGTAAAGAGTTACAGAATAGATTTATATCTTACATACAGTTAATACCACAGTAATAAGGAAATATGGAAATGATTTAGAAATAAATTGTCTGTACAAATCTTTGTGGCCAATGTACTCTCCTGCCTGACCTTGTGATTTTTTCTGTTTTGTTGGCCGGAATATCACTAGGTTTTGGATCTTGAGAGCAGGAATCATTTTGTGGTGTAACTTTAGATGATGTTGATGGCTTGGGTAAAAATTCAGTCACCTCTATTTCCATGAAAGCTGGTTTTACACGATCGACGATTACATTCTCGTGTTTCCCTCCACGTTCGACAGTGATTCTTTTGTTTGTTCTGTTTATTACTTTAAATGGTCCGTCATAGGGTGGTTGAAGTAGTTTCCTTACGCCATCGTGTCGCATGAAGACATGAGTGCAATCGTCTAGTTTTTGAGGCATGTATGCTTGTTTGAGCTGATGTCGCGGGGGATGATATCTTAAAAAACTCATGTGTTGTCTCAGTTGTTGCGCAAGTATAGTTTCGTCAGCTGGAACTTCAGCGGCTGGGTCGAAATATTCTCCAGGCGGTCGTAAAGTAGTTCCATAAACTAACTCTGCCGGACAACATTCGATATCTCGTTTTATTGTTGAGCATATTCCAAGAAGTACAAGTGGTAATTTGTCACTCCAGTCATCATCATCCTTCACTGCCACCAATGCTGCTTTCAGCTGAAGATGAAATCTCTCCACTAAGCCGTTCGAACTGAGATGATAAGCAGTAGTACGTATGTGCTTGATTCCCAGTGGTTATGTGAGTTGTTGGAATAAATGGCGTTCGAATTGAGCACCTCTGTCAGTAGTAATAATGCTGGCCACTCCGAAGTTGGAAATCCAATTTTGTTTGATGCTCTTTGCAATAGTTTCAGCCGAAATATCAGGTAAGGGACTAGCTACTGGTCATCTCATAAATCTGTC